TAAACAGACAGACAGACAGACAGACAGACAGACAGACAGACAGACAGACAGACAGACAGACAGACAGACAGACAAACAGACAGACTCACCAGTACGATGTGTCCAGTGGAGATGTCCATGTTGGTGGCCGCAGGTTCTTCACTCCTGAAAAACGGCAAGAAAATGATCTCAGTACTAGCACATCGGAAGCGGTCTGGGACTGGAAGTCTCAGTTCAGTACAAGAGGAGGTAATCTCCCCCCAGCTCTGACTGCGGAGTCTAGGCCGATGGTCGTTCATGGTGTTAACTCCAAGGTTGTTGTTGCGCAGTTGATTTTTTATCGTCTCTGCACACTGAACCAGAATAGCTGGAACAGCATCTGAACATAGAGAGCTGGTGCCTTCATAAATAAGTTATTGTTAAAGTTCAGAAACTGAGCACGAAAGTTAACAATACCATAAGTGGGTTTTTAAGTCTGTTTTAGTTTTGTTTTCTCGACACCCGGGGGTGAGAGATTCCCAAGAGGAATAGTACTAGGGTTTCAATACATTCCAACAACAGGCCAGTCCTAATTGCTGGCACTGAGGAACACACCGGTTTATCTTATTGCAGTCTTTAGAAATCACCAGAGGAGATCTCCGGAAAAGTGGGCAAAAAAAACCGTTCATGCGCACATATTATTGTCACGTATCACAAGCCACTGGTGGGTACGTACACAGATGCATAAAACATTTTCCGTTGTTGCTCCTGGATTGCTGTTCCACCACAAGAACACCCACAAGGAACCCATTGTGATCTGATCGGAACTTTTCCTTCCTCGTGGGTTGGGGACGCGGTTAGACGGGTGGGGGGCAGAGACAAAAACACTGCCCTCGATTCACACAAACCGTCGTCTGTTTTAAGAGGCCACGAGCTACAGAAATGATTTCAAGTCATTTTCAACTCGCAGTAAATAGATTTAAACAGCATAACCACAAATACACACCGTCAACTGTCGATAAAATGATAGCATTCAAAACAGATTCATGTCGCTTTAGATCTCTAAAGAATTCCGGCTTTTCCTCGACTGACAGTGTGCCACATACGAGAAAGGTAGGGAGCGGAGATATTGGGATCCTCTTAAACCAAGCACTGGCGGCCGGGCAGCGGGGATTCTGATTGAGGCGTCCAGTGAATACGTGTAGGAAACTTCTAGAACCAAAAATGCTTATCTATTCATAGGGTGTTAACAAAGTGGCTATTCCCAGATGGATAGAAAAGAGAGAGATAACGCAAGAGGGG